AGAAAACATGAAATAAAAAATAATTCCATTTAAAATAATTATTTTAAGAGATGTGATACAATATTAATTATCGTTTATGTCATATCATATTATTATGAGAAAATAACTTCAGTGACAGAAAATGCCTTATAATATACGATTTTAACCAACGTTTTTTGGATTTGCGAAAATGACCAACAAATTCGCAACGCGAACTACTATTTTGCTACCCAGTTTCCAAATTCGCAACACAGAAGTCAAATTCGCAACACAAAAGTCAAATTCGCAACACATTAGTCAAATTCGCAAAGCGCGCTTATTTTCGCAACGCAAATTTTATTTTCGAATTCAAAACACAATATTAATTGAGAAACACAAATGTAAACAATATTATCGCAAATCATAACCTAAAACCCTAAATCACAACTCAGCCCCATCTACATCTCTCACTCTCTACGGCGACATCCGTCCCTATCTCCGACGAAATCTGTCTCCATCTCCGGCAAAATCCGTCTATCTCTATCTCTCAGAGCAACCCTCACAACCATTCATGGTCATAAATGGAAAATCAACCACCGAGGGTTAGTTTAATCTCTTATTTTTATTTTGAAATTGTTGTATTATTATTAGATTTTGCTGATATTGATGATAAATTTACTGGTAATTTCAATATATAATCTATAACTATTTCACTTAGATTGCTTAGTAAATTCATTCAGTTGCTGTCAATACTGCCATGTGAAGTTAGTATTTGTCTTTATTTTGTCTTTTTGTTGAAGAAATGCAATTCATTCAAGTTTTAATTTGCAGAAGAATAGTTTTTGAAACTTAAATTCGCAACACGAAAATGAAAATCGCAACGCAAACATGAAAATCGCAACGCGATTTTAGTTTCGCGTTGCGGTTTTCATTTTCACGTTGCGATTTTCATTTTCGCATTGTGAATTTAAGTTTCAGAAACTACTTTTATTCTGCAAATTGAAACTTGAATGAATTGCATTACTTCAACCAAAAAACAAAGACAAATACTAACTTCACAGTGTTGCGAATTTAAGTTTCAAGAATAAACTACTACTCTTTATGTTGTCCTTGAACCTGCACTAAACCTATATGTTGTCCTTTTAAATGTTTATATAAGTGCTTACTTCTAGAATGTTATCTGATGTTTTGTGAACTATGATGGAATAATGACTTGGGTGAATACCGTGCTAGTTTGAAACATATTTGGCTTTGTTTTCACTGTTTAATATCATGTCTGTTTATAGTGTATAATTTGTAGTTTTTGGTATATCTAACTTTGTTTGTTTATTGTTTTTGTAGAAATTTTTTCGGCTGCATTGACCTTAAGGAATAAATTAAGCATAGCCACTAAAATTGCGTCGACGCTTACACTTCTACAAAGAAAATTGTTTGATGATACTTGCTTCGGGCCATGGCTGAAAGTACAACATCCGGGTGGAGATGCTATGTTGACACATTTGTTTCTTCAGACCATGACTAATGATCTACCTGAGAGGATACAACGTGGTGATGAAAAGATATGGTTTCATTTTCCTCCGGCGTATACTTGTTTTGGGCGGGAGGAGTTTTGCTTAATAAATGGTCTACGCTTCGGACACGATGATGTAACCCGGTACACTAGTCATATCTCTCCCCCATCATGGTTATCTCGGGTTTTTCCTGAGCTGGCAAAGTCGAAGCCGAGTTTACAAGTCGACGACTTGAAGAGATTATTTGTTAAAGATGGTTTTACTCGGATAGATGACCTTGATGTTGTCCGAGTATGCCATTTATTACTTTTGCATGCCGGTTTTTTAGGCAAAGAGGGCAGACAATCTATCTCTAAGGACCTAATATTATTGGTAAAGGACCTAAATGCATGAAACCTGTTTTTGTGGGGTTCATATCTATGGAAAGCTATCTGGAAGAAGTTGTCGTCTGCCTTTGAGGAGCGAAAAAGTTTGCGGGGCGATGGTTCTAAAGACACTTTGATAGGCTTTACTTGGGCCTTAAGGTAAGAATTTCTATATAATGTTTCCAAAATTATAATTGATTATTTAACAATTACTAATGTTTGTGTATTATATTGTTTGTAGATTTGGATATTTGAGGCTTTCCCCAGCATGCAGACATATGCGATAAAAAATCAAATGATATTCCTAGCTGGAAGAGGATCTGCATGTTGGATTGGGAAGAGTTACTCCCATACACGACGATGAATGATGTAAGTTAACACACAAATAATACCATATATAAACAAGTTATTACTAGTTCACGTTTAACTTTGTTTGAGCTTTTATATTATTAGGAGGCCAACTATCCATTACAGAGGCTGACACCTACAGAGGCTGAGCTTGCCACTGATTGGTAGCAAGCTAGTAAGCGGTTTTTTGATGGGACGGATGATGAGCACCCCCCACTTCGAGAGCCATCACCTGATCGAGCTGATTCTACAACTTGACACCCGGAGCCATCACCTGATCGAGCCTCTTCTCCACCTCCACCTCCACCATCACCTATTCCATCACATCATCGAGCCTCTTCTCTACCTCCACCATCACCTATTTCATCACATCATCGAGCCTCTTCTCCACTATCACCTCATGATAGGCGACCGGTAAAGAGGCCACGACATTTATCTCCTTGTTCTCCACCTCCACGGGATGAGTTAGGGGAGTTACGTGATGAGGTCGGTGTTTTGCGTCATAAGGTCGGTACTTTACGTGAAGACAATGGTGCATGGTGTGATGAGGTTCGATCTTTACGTGGTGAGGTGGATTTTTTACGCGATGTCAATGGTGCGCTACGTGGTGAGGTATCTACTTTACGTGATGAGGTTGTCATTCTACGCGAGATTGTTTCATCGTTGCAGAATGATGTTCATACTCTACGCAATGAGGTAAATTTGTTTAATACTATACTAAAAATGCAAATAACCTTTTTCGTTATTATTTAATTATTTATTTACTGATTTATGTATTAATTTATTTTCAGCGGCCTGATCAGTTAGATGCTTTACGTCGGGTTTTTCTTGCACGACAGAGTTCACGCATCAGACGTCGTGCACGTGCCATTACGTCTCCATTCACCCCACTAGTGCCAATACTCCGTAAGAAGAAGCTCGATGCACCTATCATCGTTCAAGAGGCGCCTCTCATCGTTCAATAGGCCCCTCTCATCATCGAAGAGGCCCCTCCCACCGTTCAAGAGGCCACTGTCATCGTTCAAGAGGTCCCGCCCGCCGTTCAAGAGCCCGATTCACATGGCATCATATGTCGACATATTGATAAACCCCCTCCCGTGCCTGATATGATGGATGCGAGTTGGCTTTCGTATGTGTTACCAGCCAGTACCATTCCTTAGCAGGAAAGGGAAACAGTATCGGACACAATTACGGATAATACCCTTTGGGCTAAGACCGCAATTGATTTTTATCTACATGAGCGGAGCAAGGGGTGTTATTCTGACCTATGCAAACACGACGATGTTTTATTAATTGTTTTCACACTAAAATGGCTATATGATCTTCACTAATCATTCCCAACGTTCACAAGTGATTCAAGATGTATTTAAACAAGTTCTGAAGCCCTTTATCAATAAGAAATCATAGAGAAACAAGAGAGAAAGCATTAAACACCAAATTTGTGCAGATCAAGCCAATTTTCCTTTCAATATTCATTTTGCTTTCAAGAACACCATTTGTGCTCATTTGTAATTATCTTTGAGTGTTATTTTCTTGTTCTAGAATTGTGCAAACATCTTACCTTGTGAGGTTTTCCTTGTAAGTTTTCAAATTTGTAATCTTCTCTTTGGGAAAGAGTGTTCTCAAGAATTGGGGTATATTCTTGAGGTTGTTGTAAGGTTATCTCTTTGGCCTCAAAAGAAAGAACAAATTAGTGAAATTGTTGGAAAATCCTTAGTGTGGATAACTAAGGTAGTGGACGTAGACTTTGATTGAGAAAGTCGAACCACTCTAAATCACTGTGATTTGTTGGAAAATCCTTAGTGTGGATAGCTAAGGTAGTGGACGTAGACTTTGATTGAGAAAGTCGAACCACTCTAAATCGCTGTGCAATTACTTTCAATTTTATGCAAAAGCTTCCACCAAATTTTTAATTGCCAATTCACCCCCTCTTGGCCAAATCCGTCAATCGATTAACTCAACACATACCACACGTAATATTCCCATCGACATGAAGCCCCAGATGCATAGAGACATCCTCCAATGTAATTGTAGCCTCTCCACATGGAAGATGAAATGTGTGTCTCGGGCCTCTATCTCTCAATCAATGCAGAAATTAGGACAAGTTCTAGTTTGCAACCGCCAATAATTGTTGCAATATACCCGAACCCTGCAGAAGACAAATATGGCAAAATACGTTGCGGTGTCGGTATACGTGAGTTTTTAATAAAAGTTTCTAAAATATGATCAGTTTCTTAAATAATATGCATTATAAAAAAATTATAATTAATATAAATTCATTGTAAATTTAAATTAAAAATAATAATAAATATTAACATTAATTATAAAAAAAATATTACCATATCATTAAATGTCTGGAGATATAGTTTACATCCAATCGTAGCAGCATTTCACTTTCCATTACAACTGTAGACAAAAAAAATTAGCACAAAAAATAATTAATTAATAAATTTAAATAAATAATAATTATATAAATATTATTTTAATAAAAAATAATATTTATATAATTATATTACTATAAAATATAAAAACTATTTAAAAAATACTAACTTAAAAATAATTTTTTTACCACTAATAAGAAATTTAAAACTTAAATAGTTTGAGAATTTGAGTTATATAAGAGAGGAGAATATGATTTTAGTGTGAAGAATGAGAGGCTGTTGAGGTGGTTTATATAAGGGAGGAGGAGGAGTAGTTGGGGAAAAAACGGATGGACAATTATGACATTTAATGGAAATCTCGTCCCCGGTGATGCGCCTTACCCCTGTGGCATCCGACTCAACAGAATCTCGTGAAAACGCGTCCCCGGGGATGTGCCTTACACTCGTGGCATCCCAGTCAACATAAACCCAGGTAAAACGCATCCCCGGAGATACGCCTTTGTGCCACCTCAACCGAAAGGGTGTTACTTCGAGAAATATTAATCAAAGAGTGTTAGAGAGATAATATTACGGTAAAAAATGTGTCAGTTTAATCAAATCGCCGCGGTTTCGCTCTCCTATCCGGTGGGATCCACTTATTATCCCCATAGAGCGGCTCTGTTGTCACTGGTAAGAGCGCTGAGCCGAATCGGACATTCACTGGAATCAAGTCACTTGTAAAGGCCAGGGGTTTACCAATCTCGCCAATTATTGAATTACCAGCTTAATAATTTTTTCAAGCTTTATGATTTAGTGAAAAATTGGTTTACAGATCCTTTTATGTTTGTTTTTTAATTAAAAAAAATTCTCTTTGCAGTTTTATTTATAAAAAAATGATACCGAAAATTAATGATTTTATTGAGACAACAAACCTTTAACAAAAAATAAACCATGAATCCTAAACTAAAAAGTAGAAATGTTCTTATCCAAGCAGCCAATCTTGTTCGTTAGCCCAAGTGTTGTGAAACAGATGGTTTATAATAGGGGGGAGAGAAACAGAGAGTGAACGATGGGGAAGAAAATGAAAATAGAAGAAGAGGATAACGTGGGGTGGCTGAGAGAGGCGGAGGGATTAAGGTGAGATTTTTAACCCAGTTTTACTGTTGACCAACAGTCAAAGAATTGACACCGTTAATTTTTTAACGGTGGAGTGATTAAAGAAATTCAATATGTAAAGTTTAACGAGTAAATTAAACAAATTTAATGTTTAGTGAGTGAAATAGAAAACATAGTAAAATAAAGTGACGAAATTTGTATTTTACCCCAAAAAAATTTCTTTCCGTCAAAGTCTTCTCTCCAGTGGAGATGTACTTCCTCATTTTGGCCTTCAAAACTGAGCTGAGTCTGCCTTCAAATCAGAGCCTTCAGGTTTGAAAACGCTGCGCTTAAGCAAGATCTAGATTTCAGAATGGAAGAAGAGAAAGGAGAGCTTGGGCGTGAAATAGAAAACATAGTAAAATAAAGTGACGAAATTTGTATTTTACCCCAAAAAAATTTCTTTCCGTCAAAGTCTTCTCTCCAGTGGAGATGTACTTCCTCATTTTGGCCTTCAAAACTGAGCTGAGTCTGCCTTCAAATCAGAGCCTTCAGGTTCGAAAACGCTGCGCTTAAGCAAGATCTAGATTTCAGAATGGAAGAAGAGAAAGGAGAGCTTGGGCAGAGCTTGATCGATGCGGTGAACCAAATAGCTCCCATCGGCGATTACAGATGTGCCGTTAGGAAGGAGTTTTGCAATCTCGCTAGGAGACTAAAGCTGTTGTCGCCAATGTTCGAGGAGATTAGAGAGAGCAAAGAGCAAATCCCTGAAGAAACTGTTAAAGCTTTGGTCTCGCTGAAAGAAGCTTTGATTTCGGCGAAGGAGTTGCTTAGATTCGGCAGTGAAGGCAGCAAGATTTACATGGTGTGTGAGTATTGCTTTTCGATTTCCTTTGGATCTGTTTGGTTGCTGAGAAAAATGGCGGAAAACTAGTTTGTCAAGTGGGTGCAGATAATCAAAATATTTCTCACCATACCATTATCTAAAATCAATGGATAAATATTACGATTAAATTTAGCTTATCTAACTGAAGGTAATCGAGTATTGAAATTCTAATTTGATATTTACTGCTACTATGAAAAAAATGAAGGAAAAACCACTCAATCCAAATTATTATTTTTAAGGTTCCTTTTGCCGATTGAAATATCGGACAAATTCTCATCTCAAAGATTTTCAAGCGTCATAGTCATCGATAGATACAAAACTAAATCAGAATACTTACTCCTACAACAGATTTTACCTTAAAAAATGACATAACGTTGTTGATTAAATTTTAGGATTGTCCTTTTGTGTCTGGATTGTTGTCAAATCTTAATCATGCATTTAGTTTAACTTTCTTGATCCTCTTTTGTTTCCAATAAGTTCCGACCATGATTTATCATTTATACATTGTGTCATGTTTTACGTGCTCACCGCAACCCCTATTATTATGCTTATAATATAAGGTTTTGAACCTAAGTGGTGTTATCATCCTAACTGTAATTTCCAACATGCTATGCTTGGAAGCCTGTGAAAATCATGGAAGTTATGCCACAGGATGGGATTGATTCTTTCATTCTGATTGTGGAGATTTGTTTCCATATCCATAGTATGACCTACTCATTTCAGGGGGTTCTTTTGAGGTTGTAAAATTGAGAGTGAGTAATGGAGGAGTGAGAGATACAAGCAATTATACTTAATTGGGTTGTCATAGTCATTGGTTTTGCTTTGGATTTTCAAGATTTATGCCATATTGAATGCTACTGTCTCTGTCTTTGTTTATCAGGTCTCGAATTGCGTTACAACACTATGTGTACTTTGGGTTGTAGACTTGTAGTTAAGATTGACACTTTCCGACTATAGAAATTAGTGTCTCAAAAACAATCATTATTAGAATATTTGCTTACCTGTATAATTAGAGATGGTAGCCATGAGCTTATAACCTCCACAGGAGGCATTTCTATAACCTTTGCTTGAAGTAGTATTATTGTACATTGCTATTTTTTGCTAGATCTATTTATTTCTAAAATTAATTGTTTGAAACTCAGGTTCTACTTTAAGTGACAAATTTTAGCCCAAAGTGGTAATATGGTGTGCTGCATTTGGCTATTGACCGATAAACTCTTTGTATTCTGCTTACAGGTTTTAGAGAGAGATCAGATTATGCATAAGTTTCATGAAGTGACAGCTCGGGTGGAGCAAGCTTTGAGCGGAATTCCCTATGAGAATCTTGACATATCAGATGAAGTTAAGGAACAGGTAAAGCTTTTTCAGTAGAAACATTCTTCAAAAAAAAAAGTCACTGTAGATTCTTCCTCTTTCTTCGTGATACTTGAATTCCAGTCATCTTAGACATGGAAGAAAGTTCCGCAAGCAATCTCTCTAATCATGATTGAGTTCTAATGGAGTTGCATATGATTTGAGAAACCAAAGATGATATTGGATGGAAATAAACATGGAGATGCTCAAGTAGAGCTACCAAAACTACTACTTTTATGCTCTTAACACTATTTAACTAGAGTTTGAAAGCCCTGAAGCAACTTTTGGATACTAAACTACTGACATCGTTTTGTTTATTAAAAAAGGCTTAATGCGTTGAAAATTTATATGTTTAGGTGGAGCTTGTTCTAGCTCAGTTCAGGAGAGTTAAAGGAAGGGTTGATGCTGCAGATGTTGAACTATATGAGGATCTATTATCACTCTTCAATAAGAGTAGTGATGGGGCTGCAGATTCAGATGTACTAAGGAGATTGGCCGAGAAGTTACAATTGGTGGGGATAGCTGAACTTACGCAAGAATCGATTGCTCTACATGAGATGGTTTCTGCAAGTTGTGGAGATCCTGGGGAAACCTTTGAGAAGATGTCAAACTTATTAAAGAAAATCAAGGATTTTGTGCAGACTGAAAATCCTAATTTGGCTGCTTCTGTGAGGGAAAAGAATCTTCCTCCTAGTAGTAGTGGTCAAGCGACCACTGATGGAAATCAGAAGACTCCAGCTATACCAGATGATTTCCGCTGTCCAATATCCTTGGAATTGATGAAGGATCCTGTCATTGTTTCAACAGGGCAGGTATATTTGTTGTAGATTTCTTTCTCAGGATAGACCAATATTTTCTTTTCTTTCAAATTTTTAATCATTTTCAGCCTTGGACTCTCCCTGTTTTACTTCTCTATAGATGCTCAGATTTGCTTGATATTGCATTGTACTAAATTGTCATGCCATTAATTAATTTGGTCAAAGGCTAGTTCTTGAAAGGCTCCTAGTCATACATTTGTTCTTTACTTAAATTGCTTGGAATAACTGGACTTGAACTTGCAACAGTCAATGATGACTAGAAGGATTTTATAAGAACCTTGTGTTTGAAAATACCTACGTTTGACCATTGCACATATATGCAGAGCCCTATGTCTTGTATACCATTACCTTTGTGCTATATTTTTAACAGGTTTCATTATTCTCTTCTGTAGACTTATGAACGTTCTTGTATTGTGAAATGGCTGGAGCAAGGTCATGGAACTTGTCCAAAGACACAACAGACCCTCAGTAGCCGGACCCTTACACCCAATTATGTACTGCGTAGTCTAATAGCTCAATGGTGTGAGGCAAATGGCATTGAACCACCCAAAAGACCCAGTAGTTCTAGACCCAATAAAACCACATCTGCCTGCTCACCTGCAGAGCATGCCAAGTTTGAAATTCTCCTTCGTAAGCTTGCATCCTTCAGTCCTGAAGACCAAAGAATGGCTGCAGGTGAAATCCGTCTTCTTGCCAAACGAAATGCAGATAATCGTGTGGCCATCGCTGAAGCTGGGGCCATACCTCTCCTTGTGACACTCCTTTCAACACCTGATTCACGGACCCAAGAACATGCTGTAACAGCACTTCTTAACCTTTCCATCTGTGAAGATAACAAAGGAAGTATCATGTCCTTTGGAGCAGTTCCCGGTATAGTTCAGGTACTTAAGAAGGGGAGCATGGAAGCTAGAGAGAATGCAGCAGCTGCTCTCTTCAGCCTTTCTGTAGTGGATGAAAATAAGGTAACAATTGGTGCCTCGGGAGCAATCCCTCCGCTAGTGACACTGCTAAGCGAAGGCACACAAAGGGGCAAAAAGGATGCAGCAACAGCACTCTTCAATTTGTGCATATACCAAGGGAACAAGGGGAAAGCAGTGAGAGCTGGAGTTGTGCCAACATTAATGCGTTTGTTGACAGAACCTGGAGGTGGAATGGTGGACGAGGCATTGGCCATACTTGCAATACTCTCTAGCCATCCGGAGGGTAAGTCTGCCATAGGAGCAGCAGAGGCAATGCCAGTTTTGGTAGATGTTATTGGTAATGGATCACCAAGGAATAGAGAGAATGCAGCTGCAGTGTTGGTTCACCTCTGTTCCGGAGAACAACAACATTTAGCAGCGGCCCAGGAACTCGGAGTGATGGGCCCTTTGTTGGACT